TCCGAATGCTAATTGGTTGATTGTGTGTTTGAGTTAGTTGACTGGGACAAAGTACAAAGACGGACTAATGGAGTCATAGACAAAGAAGAAGAAGGAGTCGAAGAGAACAAAGTTTGAGATTGAGACTATTGAGACGGACTCACGACGAAGAAGAAAAAGATAGAAATGTGTGATTGAAGTCTATGACACTGACTCAGACAATGACGATGAGTTGCGCTGGCACTGGGCGAGGAGTACACGTCATGCACGTACAACTGTAGATACAGAGGAGGAATTTGGTTGCGCTTGGGCCTAAACAAGCATGTACATCATTAACAACTCTTTAATAAGTTAAAATCATACCGTCAACGTAAGTACATAAAACTCTTTTGCGTTCCCTGTCAAGTTTAATTCTCTATACAAACTGAATTAAATAGAGTAACTCACATTTCAATCATGTAAAATTGATAGGATAAGAAAAGAGAGTAAGAAATTAGAGAATTATCAAGATCGGTGGTTGTCATTCAATGGAAGTTCCCTGCCTTTGAGCTCTCACGTTCACCTCTTTACCCTAATCTATCCTTCTTGGTCTTCTTTTTCTTCTGCTCTCAATAGTTTCCGGACTAGGGTTCTTCTTCTTATTCCTCTCTGATTTCACAATAGTTAGGGTTCTTCTTCTTATTCCTCTCTTCTGCTGTCCATTTCAATTTTTCTTCCCAAAGGTGGCTGTTCTCTCTTTTTAGGTCACATTTTTCTTTTATATTATTTGTTTCTTCCCATCGATAAGTCATCCACCTAGGATATTCTTAATTGGGTTGTCAATGATCCACTAGATTGCTGATGTGGATTAAAATTTTCATGTCATCCCCAAAATGTTTGCTTTCCGAAATGCTTCACCATCAGGGTCAACAATTTGTTCTCAGATTTGCTATAACATCATGGATCAACAAAAATGTTCTGGAATGTTACCAAATAACTCAATTGAATGTACAATTAGACTCAATTCATGTAAATTGATATTCTTTTCAGGTTGAACTATAACGGACTATTTCATACTTACTAATTAGAATAAATGGAGCCATTAATGAGCAAATGGTTTGTATTAGTGCAAAATTTACTACAAAAAAGAGTCGGTATAATTATATTTTTGGAGAGTTATCAAATGTACACCCCATTAAGGACCTAATAAATCTCCACGACATCTAAATGAGATTATGAAAACTTTATAAATTAGTCCAAGGTCACTTAAGTAACTAATTAGTGTAGAGTCAGGATAAGGCCAACGGTGAAATCTTGATAAATTGGTTCCAATGAGGGACTTGAGACTACACAAATAGTTAGCTCTAAATGAGAACCCATATTGAGTGTAGAAACGGGTTAAGGCTGAGGCCATAAATTCGTAAACTAGTCTTGGAAAAGATTAGAGACTACATAGGGTAGGTGGCATAGGGTTTGTATTTTTATTGAGGGTAGACACAAGTTAAGGCTGACATCGTGACTCCGTAAAATGGTCTTGGAGAGAGATTTGAGACTACATGTGTAGGTGTCAAGTTTTGTGTTCCTATTGAGTGTAGGGACGAGTCAAGAATAACGCCACGATACCGTAATGGTCTTGAAAGGAGACCAGGGACTACACGGGTAGGAGATTCATGATGGTTGCCCCTAATGATTGTGGTAATGGCCCTAGGCTTCGACAAGGTCTGAGACATGCAAGGAAACTTTCTAGAGCTTAGAGAAAAACACGTGGAAACCTATTAGGAATTGGATGCGATGTGAGCGTACATATAGATTGTTTACTGGTTATTTCTATAGTCACTCCTTTCTCTTTTCTTTTTCAGGTATTAGTCGAGGTGGGGAAAGTGCTCAAGAGTTGCACTGTCGTCACAAAGTGACGTCAACGGAGGGCGTCAATTAAAAGAATATTTTTGTGGGTTGTCATTTATATTCACTTTATATCCTATGTTCTTATCCCCCATTTGTAAATGATCAAGAACAATACTTATTTTATATTATTTTCCAATTGGATTTTGGTTTCCACGGTTAGTCTTTTATCTTTTATTTATGGTTAGAGATTCGAAACCTCGAAAATCATACTATTCTATGATATGATCTTGATGAGGTCGCATCTCTAGGTTTAAGTACTAATGACTAACTTCCCATGACAACAATAACTAGCTAGATCTAAAGAAAAGAAAAATTAGTGCACCGTAGAGTTCATAAATGTCATCCAGTAGATTCGCGGCATCAGAAAAGGTGAGCAACTTCCAAATATCAATTGAGTTTGCGATAAGCAAGAGAACCGTTTAAAACTTCGAGATCGTGATTTAAAATCTGAAAAACTTTATCTTTGTCGGTTTGTGAGTCACACGTAATCCGTGATTCAAAATCTCGAAAGTATGTCAAGACATGTTCACACAAAAAAATGTACCCAAAAATGCTTTTTCTTTCTTTGAAAGTACTATTTGCCTCAGGCATAGGCTTTGGAGGTATAAGTACTTCATCTTGCTTACTTGAAGATTCAAACTTGCAAGCTTTGAACCGTAGTTACTCATAGTCGTGGCCCTTGGCATGACCATCCCATGGGAGCGAATGAACTCGATTTCTTTTTTAAAACAAATTGAATAGTAATACAATCTCGAACAAACAAAATGACTAGGAAATACGTATATATGTATTTATCGAGATCTTAGAAAAACAATTTTTCATCCACGAAAAAGTGAATGTAAATAGCCAAAATATTTTTGTACGTGCGAGTGTGAATCCTAGAGGCTCGCACACTTCCTGGACCCTCTCTAGTCAAGCTACTCTATAGCAACGTACGGAGGTCAGCGGAACCCTCGGTGTCATGCTCCCCATGAACACCCTCATCATCATACTATGCGCGTCTGCACTCATCATCTCTAGGGGAAGTATCCGTATGCTTATGAACATACAACATGCATGAAGTCTCTCTAATTTCCATCTTATCATCTCTTCTGAGACAACCCTCTAATCTCATCCCTTTGCTAAATTAAGTAACACATGCTCGTGGATATGTATATTAATATCATTTTCATACTGTTAGGGTTGTGTCCTAGGTCGATCTATCGACATGATGCAATATGACACTCATCATAATATAGCATGCTTAATAGGAAACATCAACATATTAAGATAACGCCATACAAACACATCATACTCATCATATTGTCATTTAGTGTATCAAACATATCATGTACGTCATACATCGAAATATATAAATTACGTACATTATCATGCATCATAGCTCAATTATCATAACTCATACATCATCATACAACTAGTGTACGACATCATGCGATATAACTCATACATCATAAATATAAACATCGCATGTATCATCATATGTCATCTCAAACAAATCTAATTGTAACTCATACCATTTCTAGTCTATCTTATAGTAAGGTCATCTACCTGATTAGTTTAGGCTGATATCACAAATTTATCTTAATGAAAGTTCGATTTTTTTCTTTTGTATCCAAGTCAAGGTTCAATTCTCTAAATTTTACCATGGTTCATGTGTTAAATTTTATGCGACTTTGCATAAACAGAGACTTGAAAAGTTATAATATATATATAATTCTATTTTATTAAGATAATTAGGAATAGAGATAAGGGTCCGTGGAGAGAATTGGTAAAAGATAACAGGTGGGTTGAGGAGAGATAATTGAGATAAAGACGAGGGTAGAGATCTGAAGATAACTAGTCAAATTTACTAGAGGAGACTTTCAAACAAGATGCCTAACCAAACAAATATGATTATAGTTTAACGAGCTATGAAGAGATTCAAGAGATGAAAATAGAGAAAAAAAGGAGCTAGAATACATGCTCGATGCATGATAGAAATAAACGATGTCTACTATTACATATATAAAAGCATTCGATATTGTTCTTTTTTTTTTAGATTTTGACTTATAAAGTAAACATAACTTTAATGAAATTGATTGTATTTCAACCTAAAAACGAGCTTGAATAATCGTACCTGAATTTTTTTTCTAAGCCTAAACTATTGTTAACAAAATACAAGCAAATCACATCAAGTCAATTTTATACCGTATTTATAGATTCAAAGACAAAAGTTTCTTTCATGATATATATTTGTTGTGTAACTATGTATCCGTCCCATCGAGACTTTTTCGGCCAACTTATAGACCTAAACCACAATTGCACATGATGTTTGGTATTTGTTATTTAGACCCAGCATGAGTTGGTTATGATGCTTGTTAAAAGAGTAGGTTAAAATTACCTATCGAGAGTAAAAAGTTCTAATGAGATGCTAACAAAATTTGACTGGCATATCAATTTTGTGAAACACAAAACCGAACCCATGTCATTTATTCAGTTGGTTCAATATTTTTGTAATTATAAATGAAAATATGATTATCGGGTGAAAATGAACCTTTTTACAGATTTAGGGTTTATACTCATATCATAAATGTTCAACTTCAGTGATGTTTCGAGTAATAATTTTGCATCGAAACGGTATCGGTTTTTTTCGATTTTTGTTTCGTTGGACTCGTTAACTAAGATACTACTAGTTGGAATGAAAATTTCAAGTTTTTATTTGAAGCATTGTCCTAAAATTTGCCCTAAACCACAATAGCATCATGATAAACCCTAGTCATGACCATTCCACATTCAAAATCAAATATCTCTTCAATTTCTTAACCAAATGACATGAATAAATATTCATTAGAAAGCTAATGTAATAAGCTACGAAATGAAAAAAATCCCATTTAAATCTATTAAGTGTAGCCTAAGTTATGCTCATATTAATCAAGCTTAAAAGCACACTCAATTCATCTCAAACACCTCCCCATCCAAACTCCTCCATCAAAGCCACCCAAATCTAGCGCTATCAGCCGTCGATGACGTTTGATCGAACGACCATAATTTAAACTTGGAAAAGGTAGCGATCCGCGTGATAGGCGCATTGGCCAATCAGATCTCAGCTTCCTTGCGATGAACATGACAAGCCGACTATTTAAGCCTAAACATTTTAGCCAAATCCCTCAACGAAATTACCAGTAACATTTCATATAGCTCTCTCGTTTCTCTAGATCCCAATTTTTGTTCCGATCATCTTTCCATTTCCAAATTCTACTTCTGGTTTGTGGAATTTGATCTTGTTTCTACATCAATGGCTACTGAGGAGCCAGTTGTGGCGGTGGAGTCTGCGGCAGAGCCGGCCAACGCTGAACCAGCCGGAGAAAGTCCTGTGAAAAAGGCCGGGAAGTCGAAGAAATCCAAAGAATCTAAAGAGAAGAAGCCTGCTGCGCCTAAAAGATCTAGAAATCCCCCAACTCATCCTCCATATGAAGAGGTGTGTTGCTGAATTGAGTTTGGAGTTTAGAACAGAATTTTCTTTTGGATTCATGTCTGGTGTAATGGATCTGTTTTGTTGATTTGGTTTGATGTTTTGATTTCAGATGATTAAGGATGCGATTGTCACGTTGAAGGAGAGGACTGGTTCGAGTCAGTATGCGATTACGAAATTCATTGAGGAGAAGCAGAAGCAACTTCCTCCGAACTTTAAGAAGCTTTTGTTATTCCATTTGAAGAAACTTGTTGCTTCCGGGAAGCTGGTGAAGGTTAAGAGCTCGTTCAAGCTTCTGCCAGCGAAATTGGCAGCTTCGAAGCCTGCTTCTCCTGCGAAGAAGAAGCCAGTTGCTGCCAAGCCGAAACCTAAAGCGGCGGTGAAGACCAAGGCTGTGGCTAAACCAGCAGCAAAGCCGAAACCGGCAGCGAAGCCGAAGCCCAAGACGGCTGCTAAACCCAAGGCTGCTCCTAAACCTAAACCTAAACCTGCTCCCGCCAAGGCAAAGAGCAGTGCGGTTGCGAAGCCGAAAGCTGCAGCGAAGACTAAAGCTGCTCCCAAGCCGAAAGCCAAGGAGAATCCCGCCAAGGTAGCTAGGACATCCACGAGATCCTCACCAGGGAATAAGGCACCTGTTCCGAAACCGGCGGTGAAGAAAGCACCGGTGGCCAAGAAGGCTCTGGCGAAAAGTGTTAAGTCTAAGAAAGTGAAATCGCCGGCGAGAAAGGCTCCGGCAAGAAGAGGAAGGAAGTAAATGAGATAGAAGGAAACTAGCGGCGGTCCTGTAAATCCGTTATCCTTGTGTGGGTGTACAGAGCCTTACATCCCATGCTATAGAGGAATTTACTTCAGACTTTTCGAGTTTCTTTTACTTGTTTACTTGTAGACCTTTTTCCCAAGTTGATGTATCACTCAGCTTAGTTTTTAATGGAAATTCTGTGATCAATTAGGAGCGTCCATTTCGGTTTTCAACCCATGATTTCTACGGCCAGTCCAACTGCACCAATTATCTGGAAACGTTTCGTTTCTCTTACGCTAGAAATGGATATGGATTGCTTAATCGAAGTTTGAAGCTTGGTTGCTAAGCTTGGTAAATCTCGATCTTTTTTGTGCTTCTCGCCCTCATATCTGTCTGCGATGATTTCAAAGCGTATTTAATTCATTAGCTAGCTGTATTTGGTCATTGCTTAGATAGGTTGATTGGTTGATAGAGTTTGATCATACCAGTTCATCCCTTTTGCGATATGATTTATCATCTTTCTCATAATGTTTGGTATAATCTACTGATGTTTGCATTATTTCTCCCTTACAGATTGTTAGGTTTTTCGTGCTTGGATAGGTCACTGAGTGAGAAGCTATCATTATCGTATAAAATCATGAAGGTTATAAGACTGCTTAATAAATCTATCTGGGTATTTGTTGGGGTACAAGTTTATAAATAAGGAATATGTCTCCATTGGTCTCACGCCTTTTGGGAAAATCAAAAGCAAGGCCACGAGAGTTTATGCTCAAAGTGGACAATACATTGGTCTCACGCCTTTTGGGAAAATCAAAAGCAAGGCCATAAGAGTTTATGCACAAAGTGGACAATACCACGAGGCTTTTTGGGAAAACCAAAAGCAAAGCCATGAGAGTTTATGCTCAAAGTGTACAATATCATACTATTGTGGAGAGTCGTTATTCCTAACATGGTATCGATTTTGGTCTTATTCAAGTTAGTCTAGCACCAATGAGAGTTTATGCTCAAAGTGGACAATATCATATTATTGTGGAGAGTCGTTATTTCTAACATGATATAGAGTTATGCCCTTAACTTAGTCATGTCGAAAGAATCTTCAAATGTTGAACAAAGAAATTGTGAGCCTCGAAGGTATAGTCAAAAGTAACTTAAGTGTTGAACAAATGGTGTACTTTATTCGAGGACTCCAGAGAAGGAGTCGAGCCTCGATTAAGGGGAGGTTGTTTGAGGGCTCCATAGGTCTCAAGGAAGGTTCTATAATGTACTTTGTTCGAAGGGAGGATTGTTGGAAGAGAGTCCAGCTAATTTAGGGAATGATCATAGGTGGTAAGAAATACATTTCCATTGGTCCTTTTGGGGAAACCAAAAGCAAATCATGGGAGTTTATGTTTAAAGTGGACAATACTATACCATTGTGAAGAGTTGTTATTCCTAACGATATTTGTGAATTAGAGATTTAGGGCGATCTGTGAACGTTAATTATGGCATAAGATGTGACTAGTTGATAAACACTAGGTGTACGGAAATATGCAGAAACCAGCATAATTGTGAAAAACAAAGCTAGATGGTTATGGCTTTAGTTACTATTTTTCTATGCGATTCAACTATTGGTTACAAGATTTATTTGGTTTTCTAATTATACACTTGATTTTTGTTTGGACCAATTTTCATGTAACTCAATAGACTAACATCTCTTGCTGCTTGCTTGTATAGGTAGATGTCACTATGGCTTGAATTCATTCCTTCCTAAACTGTATATTTATTAGAATTTTCTGGATAATCTGTCAAGTTTATGTTTTTATTTCCTCTAGGACTTTCTGTTAGGATATTTGTCGGGTACAAGTTGACTACATATTGTCTTTTTGCTCGGAGTAGTATCAAATTAGGAGAGGGAACTTATCATTTAGTAACAAATTTCCTGCATACAGTAAAGGGGGAAATTCTAGGGAGTCAGTGGCTTACATGTATAAGGTATTTAAGAGAACGAATGTACTAATGAATCAGAAGGAATTGTTAATGGGTGGAGAATTCTGCTGTATATTCTACCTCGAATCTCTTCAATTCATGTGTGAGAACAAATTTGGGTAGAAAGATTTTTGTATGAAAACCAATTTGGTATGTAGGAGGAGAATCCATTAACCAGAACTTTTGCTATCTTTTCTGTTATCTATTCCAAATGGATGTCGACCCAACCTGTCAAGACTTGATTCCTAGAAACATATGAAGTTAGAAAAGAATCAGAAGAAAAGATGTAGGTGTAGGTTAGCAAGGTTGATTCGTTCTATAACTACTCATGCAGGTCACCTACTAGGATATCTATGGATTACTAGGATTTCAATAACTTAGCTGCTATCAATGTTATTACTCCTGAGTTGTTCTGAAGGCTCAAAGAAAATTAATCAAGTCTTCTGTACTTTCTCATTGGCCTTAGTACATGTGATTGAATTGAAAAGAAGATCCGTCTTGCTTTCTCTCTCTCTTTCTCCCTCTGGGTTGGATTTGTGTGTGCAGGGATGTCGAGGATTCAGATCGTTTTATTTTGTTTTGGCGTCCTTTTGATATCCTTAGTCTGAGGAAGCTCCATATTAAGCTTATGATATGTCTCTTTGGAACCATACTTTTCGATATACAGGTGCACTAGGAAAATAATAATATTATCAGTTGGCGATGTTTCTGGATATATCAGCGCCATCCTGTAAGATTAGGAGGTGATATATGTGATTAATTTGTTAAATCATGGTCACTCTTTTAAGAGGATATTATGAATTGGTGGATTTGCTACTGATTGAAGAGCATGGTTGGGAGATGTGCTTTATTTTTGGCTAAATCACTAGGAATGCTCAGGTTAGATCGTTCTTTGCTGTGTTGAGCAAGTCCTTCAGGCTTTAAGACCTCGGTTTGATTTGGTGCAGTCATCTGTAACTATTAGGTTCTAACTAGGATGATTTAAAGTTACATAATCGTTTTAGCTTGCATCATCCTTCTTCAGTCTGTTGTTAGGAATCACGAACCTCCATAATGAAATGTTATTGTCCACTTTGAGCATAAGCTCTTATAGCTTTGCTTTTGGTTTCCTCAAAAGGTCTCGTACTAATGGAGATGTATTCCTTATTTATAAACTTGTGATCAACCTCCCAACAATCTCTACAATCCTCCCCTCGAACAAAGTACAACATAGAGCTTTCCCTGAGGCCTATGGAGCTCTCAAATAGTCTCCCCTTAATCGAGGCTCGACTCTTTCTCTGGAGCCCTCGAACAAAGTACACTGTCTGTTCGACACTTGAGTCACTTTTGACTACACATTTGAGTTACACAATTTCTTTGTTTGACACTTGAAGATTCTATTGACATGACTAAGTTAAGGGCATGACTATGATACCATATTAGGAACCACGAACCTCACAATGGTATGATATTGTCCACTTTAAGCTTAAGCTTTCCTGGCGTTTGCTTTTAATTTCTCTAAAAGGCCTCGTACCAATGAAGATGTATTCCTTACTTATAAACCCTAACCCTTAGCCAACGTGGGACTTCTCTCCCAACAATCCTCAACACTTGCTCCCTCCCTCCATCCATCATTTCCTCGTCTCCCTTCCCCTTCAAGTGATGTGCAGACACGTGTAGCTGCAATATTTTGTATGTGTTCGTGATTTGTACAAAGCAATAATTGAACAGATCGACCATTTCTTATTTGGCACAATTCAGTAAATAATAAAAGTTTATTTATTCATTTTTTGTTTTGAATCCCTTTTAACTTCCTACATGGGTTTAACATTGTTATAATTTCTGCTGCCACCGTGAACATCAAAATGGTAAAGAACTCATGCTTGTTCACAGTGTCATATAATGTACGCCGGCATGTTTGCTTTTGCTATCTGTACATTTATGACAACCTTGCATCCTCTTTGTTGGCAACTGTGTGTGTCTATTTCTCTTGTACGGCACGGCGTTCAGCCCCTTCGATTTCCTTAATTGTGTTGTGGTATTTATATTCCACCTCTGCAAACTGTTTTAACCTTGAGAAGCATCGGTAATTATATTTGAATTGATTACACAATTTTCCTCTTTCCTTCAGAGTCCGATAAATTGAAGCTAGAATTTCTCCATCGAAATACTACATTGTCCATGTGGCCAAGATGCAACAGTAGCAAACCCCAGAATGTTTGAGGAGGGCCTATCATCCTACAACCTTGGCAGGGAGCTGCTTCATATTCCCCATGTTTCTGCTACTTCCATGGAAAATATGTCGTAAGTTCATATTCTCATTTACTTTAGTTATTAACTCTCATTTAGTTTATAACCATTTTGATTCCTACTTTTATTCATGTATGAGCATTAATATTGCTATGCTTATATAAAAGTTTGTTTAGCATTGTTTTGAGATGTGGACCCATTACTATTTTGTATTTGTCTAGAGACAATTGGGATAAACTTTGTTGGGATGTAGGAGAATTTTTTTCTCTCAACCATATAAATCTTTTTATCTGTTTGTGGGTGTGTGAGTGCGATCGATCTTGCTTCAGCTTTTGCTACAACAATTGGGTATTAGAGCATGGAAGGGTGTGGCATTACAGTATAGATACTGAAATCTTTCCAGGTCTGCAATTAAGTTTTAGGAGGAAAATGTTTTCTTTAGCCATTGAATTCTCTATTTGCTTTGCGGATGGTTTTCATATGAGCCATCATGATAAATAATATCACATGAGGATGATGGTTTGAATTGTTATCTAGTTATTACCAGTGTTCAATAGTTTCAAGCGGTACACGCATCACCTATGGTCGCCCGATGTTACGGGTTGTCTAGGTAGATTGCAAGCTGCCATATGGATTGCTTAGAGATTGTGTTATTTACTTCCTCATCATTGAAACCAGTTGGTAGTTAAGGTCTCATGGACATGTTTTTTTGAGTCTCAAAAGTTTGCTAGCTTCTTGTGATTGGTTTAGTCGGTATTTCTCCTTGCGTATTCTCTCTTTTATTCTTCATGCTTTTCATTTAGATCGATCATGCAAGTTATTTGATCCTCGATCCTATCAGTTTTGGAATGATTTTAGTTTTTTCAAAACTACTCCAAACAATAATATTTTCAGATCTCTATTGTTGTTCGACGATATGCCTAAAATGATATGGAGGGGACAAGAAGTTTGATGTTCATGGTAACCTTTCATGATTTTCATTGCTCTCAATCATTAATTTTGAATCTGTTCTCTAGAGAAAAAACATGAACATGAAGCATTTTGTCTTCTGCAGGAGAGAGAAAAAAAAAAAAAAAAAAAAAAAAAATTTCTGTATTGTTTTCTTGTAGGAAAAAATGGAGAAGAAACTATTATTTTCAGATGAGATGGGATGATGTCAAACTTCAAATGATGAAAAAGTTTGGTTCACAAAATGCCACGAATTCTGTTAGGGTTCGTAGATTCATGCGTGCAATTGTACTAATTGATCTACGATGATAGAGATCTTTTTGGTAGGTATGTACTAGTCTGGTCATCCTATTCATAGCGACTTAATTTCTACCCAATTTGTATCATTGCATTTGTTCAGTCAGTTTATCATATTCAGTCAAGCACATGTGATTGAGTTGCCTATATTTGAGCTCGAGAAAGATTCTTTATACAGATCGTGTTTGCTTCAACGTCACTCGTCACTCGTCACTCGTCACTTGTGTCATGTAGCATACTAAGGCTGCAAGTCAAATCTCAACAAGGAAGATTTTGAGCCCCAACGACGAAGGAATGGACATTTTCGGGGACTAGTCCGCTTCCCATTACCTGGCGAGGGGAATTCCTCACACATAATTAAGGGAGCCATTAAAAGGTGATTGAAACACTAGAAACGACAACCTTAGATAACCTTTTCTTATTTTTGCAACCTTCAAGTGACCTTCCACATCATATACTCCAATTTCATTGGAAATTCAAACATGGCCCGACTCTTAAATTCATTAGCACCCTAAGCACTAAACACAGTTTTTTCGATATTTTGCACCATTTCAAAATAAAACTAATTCAGATTCTTATATTGACGTAAATTTAAAAGTTTACGGTCTAAATTTATAACTTATTTTTTTTTTCGGCCCTCGAGCAATCCATATGCAAGGTAAGGTGTTAGGTGTTAGTTTCTAGGGTCACTATTGAGTCATGAGTGTGTTAAATGCTGGCTGGCTGAAAGAGCCATTGTTTCTTAGCATCCCAACATTACATGGAGTTTATGACCCACCTCTATTTATGACCTTCACATGTTACCTCTTTCTTATTTATTTTTATCATTATTTTCTTCTCAACCATACCATTTAATTTCCCGACCCTTTCACCCGACAACCTTACAAAAGCAACGACTGGAGCGGGGGAGTTAAGAGCTCAAATAGGGGATCCCCATGTCTTTTTCTCATTCAAAATCGTGCACGAGGCTTTCATCTAGCACGGCTCCTAAGCTCGAAGTCTAGTTATTAATGGACCACACTGACATTCATCCTCCTCTTTCTGCATACCCTGTAGTTAACTTCAGTTGTATTATAGTTTACATTATAGCCAATTTACACCATACCCATGTGACCATACCCTATTCATTATTGGCCCACAACAATTATATCAAAATTTTGTACTCGTAGAGCGCGCCATCACCTACAATCTTTTCTTTTTTTTGACCGGGGACTTCCACGAAATAAAATGGGCGGCATCATCGTATGCTCGAAATTTGTTGCCCTAGTGTATAATATTGGAGTACTACTATGGCCGATTTGTCACCCAATCTACTTAAACAGCCTAAAGGTTTTGCCCCGCAACGTTTGGAGAATGAGCGTATATATATATGCATGACTTAGTCAATTATTCTCGCAATTCAAATAAGATTCAGATCAGGGGTTGAGTTAAGTCTCTGAAAGCATGGTTCATACCTCCCTCCTTGGAGCTCGTCCATTCCTTGGGTGATCCCTTGCTCTCATGTTTGAGGGTTTGCTCGTCATTTAGGCCGGTGAGTGAGTTTTCTACTCATTACAGTCACCCGTGATTCTTCGCACCTGAATAGTATCAGGACCCTTGTGCTCCGACCCTTGATCAAATAAACCCCCCTATGACCCACTACTCGAAATGAACCTTGCAACAAGACGCTACATTACTCTTAGATCAAATGCGCATACGTATGTATCTATGTATTATATGCTTTTTACGAATAAATTTGGGACGGGGTTTTTGAACCTCCAACAAAGAATAAATGTCTTAACTAATGAACTATGTTTATATTCATGTATTTCTTTCACATGTCAGATGAAATTTGTGAATCAAACATAAATCGCCATGCAAAAAAAAAAAAAAAAAAAAAAAAATACACATTCAAATTCGTTCCTAAGAGGAAAAAAATCGAATTTACGCAATCTATTTGCTTAAGCTTCTATTAGCGATAGTAATTCAACGGGTATAGTTCATGAGATAAACGAACCAAAATCTACTATTAATCGTCAAGGGGGAAAAGTTGAGTTTCTCAACAAGAAGAAACTTGAGAAAAAACAAAGCAAGATTTTACCTTATTTCTTTCGAACTTCTCCAACACAACAGAAATACCTCACAAAATAGTAAAAGTTGGTGAATTAGAACAACCTTTCACAGACCTACATATATGTATGTGTCTGTAATCAACGCCGAAGACTCGTCGAGACGGGCCAATGGAACAACAAACCCGAGCTTTAGATTGAGAAAGAAAGCTAAGTTTCGACATCGAGACAAAGGATTTAACATGACGGGTGTTGAGGGGAATGAAGCCTGGTCCGAGATCATTCAAAAGTTGACGAGTTTGATTCCCGAGAGGTTGAAATTCAAAGAGATGAACGTTCTCGCACCAGACAACATTTCCCACAACTGTTCATGAGGAGAGAGAAACACAAAAATAGAGAGAAAAACAATAAATTGTAAACTTTCTTGGGGTCTTTTTATACTCATCGAATGATCTCTTTGTGCAAACTTTTCATACTCATTTTGTGAACAAAGAAACAATACATTGATTTAGTCATTTATGTTTGGTTTTTTTAATGTAACATTTTTGTTTTAAAAATTGGTTTTTTTTTTTTAAGAATAAAATGTTTAAAACAAATATAAAATAAAACGTAAAAGAAAATATAATTATTTTATTCTTATTCCTATCAAAAGGCACTGAGTCTTCATAAAATGATTAAACTTAGCTACAAACGACCCCATGACCTTCTCAACAGATACTATCAATTGTCTAGGATCTCGTCCTCATTACCTAAAAAAAAAACGTAGTTTGAAATTTTAGGAATCACGACTGTTTACAATGATATGATATTATCCACTTTGAGCATAAACTCTCATGGGATTCTCAAGAAGGTCTTATACCAACAGAGATTTATTCCTTGCTTATAAACACATTATCATTCCCTAAGTTAGCCAACGTGGAATTCCCTTCCAACAATCTTCAATATAAAAATGTTGAGTATTTAAAAGTACGAGCAAGTGACTTTACTATAGGAGTCGAAAAAGGCAACCATGTACAACATGTCTGATTATCATGACCATGGGATCTAAACTCATGACTAGACTTAGGCCCTACATGGCCGATGTATATGCACACAAAGTCACTAGGCGAGTATGAGTCCTATCCATACCTAACTATGGGTGTACACATGCTCATGCATACTATACCCATTGAAAATAATGAGATGCCTAAGGTACCACAAGAGAAAATTATAATTCACATCACAGTAATTCATAATCTTTAATTTATTCACACGTGACTCATTTTTCGAAACTCATAACAAATCATCGTAATAGAATAAAATGTGTTCACATATCATACAACTGTTGGCCTCAATAACTCATGATCAATATGGTAATGACACATACTGAACATATCTAATTAATACTTTAAGACGTTCTAATAATAAGTTTACTTACTTTAATGGGCCAAATTCAACCGTTTTATGCTCCTTTTAGCTAACGGCAGCGTAGGTTCAATCTCTAATCTCGAAGGAAAATCAATTTAAAATGCAATGAACCGAAGAAAAAAACTAGAGAAAAACCTTGAACCTTACTGAATCGAGCTTAGTCGAACAAAAATGTACTAATTTGTGGAACCAAGTTTTATGTAGGCAATGATCTCATTCATCTAAGCAAGATTTATGTTAAGTGGGATGAAATAAACCTAGGCCGTTAGAACAAGACCCACGTCGTCGACCTGCATCATTCGCAAGAGGAATGAAACTAAAATGATGAGTTATCATGGAAAAAAATGTTAAACCCAATTGATAGATTCAACCCAATTCGATCTTACAATATTTTATTAAGAAAAATAAGTTTGAATTAATCGTGTTAATTTTTTAAACAAACTACATCGACCTAACTCAGAATCAATTCAAATAAATTTACAATTTGACCTAAACCATTTGAATGATGAATTATTAGGCCATTGGTTGAATTTTGTTCCATTTTGTTCATCGAGATGCAATCTTTCCTTAGGTTCGTTCTCCTGTCTAAATCTATAGGCATCTTTTCCTAACTTGTTCTAATTTTTGTTTTTAAGCGGAAAATATGAGAAAAATTTCTTTTAAGTTAGGCTATTTGCCATAATTTGAGTGCATTATTCATACAATTTGATAAGGACCTTCCATTATTCCCATTAAAATATTAGGCCACCAACGAGCACGAGTAGCCAATTCGAGAAATTTGATTCTCAAGTTTGTGATTCGTACTCATCTTGTTATCCCATCAGCTACACCATTTTACGAGATCAATTAAATGAAAAACTTCAATCATTATTGACTTATCATCTACAAGAGCCCAAACTCATGTAAAAAAGATATTGTCTACTTTGACCCATTACATATCGTCGTCAACCTCATAGTTTTAAAATGCGTCTATTAGAGAGAGGTTTTCACACTCTTAAATTTCTTGTTCCTCTCTCCAGTGGATGTGAGATCTCGCAATAGTATCTCCAAAAGTAGAACATTATAATATTTGAACATAGATTTCTTGAATGATCACTAATGATCCAACTCACTCACAACATAATTATTCTCTCTCCATGTAACATCACACATAAAAACGTCAACAGTTGTTAAAAGGAGGCAATCGTCGAGGAGCTGAAATTGAATAGACGATTACTCCTTTTTCATGGAGGGTTGTCATTGAGGTAAAAATACTTCTACA